TGAGTGACCCAAATGCCCTCTAGTCCAGAATGTTAGGGCCAGGGATTTAGCTCAGTGCTACAGCACATGTCTGGCAAGCGTGAGGTCCTGAGTTTGATTCCTGGTATGAATTCAAAATAAAAAAGCAAACAAATAAACAGACAAAGAATACTGATGAGAAGCAACTTTTGACAAAACAAACCCTCAAGTCTTATATAATGTGAAAAAATACTGCAACATAATAGACATTGATGTCTCATCTGCACATGCTTCTGATTATTGTTTCTCATAGCTGGATTACAATTAGATGCTTTAATCTGAAAACATGGTGAAGATTATGTATTCCTGTACTATCACATGCATTAACTTGAAGAAAGCTTCATGCAGATGATAGCTGCTTTCCAGAATATAATTGATGCTAGGTTTTTTTTTAAATTTATTTATTTATTTATTTATTTATTTTTAACATTTATTTTGTGTGTGTGTGTGTGTGTGTGTGTGTGTGTGTGTGTAGCCAGCTCAGCCCACCAGGGGGCGGGGCGGGCTGGCATGTGGTGCTGGGGGATCGAACTGCGGTCCCTGCGCTTTATCAAGCTTGTTCCAAGTAGGTGCTTTAGACCACTGAGCCATCTCTCCAGCCCCTGATGCTAGTTTTTTAAGACAGGGTCTCACTATGTAGTTCAGGCTGGCCTTAAATTCACTATATAGCCCAGGCTGGCCTCGAATGCGTGGTGATCTTCCTGCCTCAGCCTGCAAGGTGCTGGGATTACAGGCATACACCACCACTCTTGGTTTTGATTCTAGTTATTTATAGCAGTTATGATTATAAAGTTGTTTCTTCCACTAAATTAGCAAATTCTAACCCACTGCTTCTAGGTGAGATACCTGTGAGCCTCTGGTAATAACACTTTTGCCAGCTGATGAGCATATAAATAGGTTTTATGGTTGTTTCTGTTCAAAGATACCTCATTATAGCTGAGGGTTTATGGTACACGCCTGTAATCCCAGCACATGGGTGGCTGAGACAGGAGGATCAAAGTGATTTTTAAGGGGGCTGGTGAGATGGCTCAGTGGTCTAAAGCACCTACTTAGAACAAGCTTAGCAAAGCACAGGGACCGCTGTTCAATCCCCCAGCACCACATGCCAGCCAGCCCCACCCCCTGGTGGGCTGAGCTGCCCCCCACACACATTAAAAACAAACAAACAAACAAACAAACAAACAAACAAAAAAAGTGATTTTAAGGTCAGTTTAGGCCACATAGTGAGTTTAAGGCCAGCCTGAACTACATAGTGAGACCCTGTCTCAAAAAGCAAAACAAAAAAAGAGAGACACCTTATATATTTCTTACAAATCATTATTTGTAATAATGATTACATGTAGGTTTTTTTTTTTTTTTTTTTTTTTTTTTGTATTTTGGCAGAGCCTGGGATTGAACTCAGACCCTTGTGCTTGCAAGGCAAGCTTTTATTCTACTGAGCTATCTCCCTGGCCCCCTACATGTATTATTTTATTTATTTATTTTGTGGAACCAGGGATTGAACTCAGGCCCTTACACTTGCCAGGGAACATGTAGTTTTTTTTTTTTTGTTTGTTTGTTTTTTTTTTGGTACTGGGGATTGAACTCAGGACCCTGCACTTGTCAGGCAAGTGCTTATTCTACTGAGCTATCTCCCCAGCCAACATGTAGTATTTTTAATGAAACAAAAATTCAGTTACAGCATTTTAGCGATACCCTTTCCTGTACTGAAATTGCATCACTTTCCCCTATGGTCATGGTTATACACATGCTGCCCACATAGTGTAGTCAGTACAGAGTCTGACATACTGTACAATTCTCACAGTAAATATATACAGTTCTGTAAACACATATTGGCAGCATGGCAATAAAAATCAAGTCCTGAAAAGATCACTAGATTAAGCAATTAAGGTTTTATAAAAACATTAAAAGGGGACCGGGGAGATGGCTCAGTGAAATAAGCGCTTCCCTGGCTGAATTGAAAAAGTGACATCAACTTTGACTGCGTGGCGTTCTGCCTCATCTCGTGAAGCAGCTCATTATAAGGGGCAAAGGCAGTGGCTGTGAGGCGCTTGAATGTGGGATGCCGTTAAGCACTGGGTCGCACTCCTCCATGTCATTAAATTTTTTCTCCAAGGCAGAATTCTATTCTGATACTTTGGCTGCAGTGACAGTGACAGTTCTCGCAGTCTCTGACTGATTTCCAGCCCATCCTGGTCGTTGCTGACTCTAGTGCCTTGTTTTGTCATCACACTCCGCTCTTCATTGGTTGTTTCTATTGCCTTCTCTGCCAAGATTTCCTCTGCGACTTCCTTCATCATGTCATCAAAGCCTTCTCTACTAATTTGCTGTGCAGTATACCTTCTGTTCATGATACTCTTCTTCATGTTTTTGTCACACCTTCAAAGCCTTCGAAGCTTTCCACAATCTCGCCAAACATTTTCCCAACAGTTATTGATAATAGTTGGCTCAACGCCATCCCAGGCTGCACCAACATAGTCAGCAACAGCATGGATAGTGAGTGACTTCAGAGTCTGTCATGGTGGTTTCTCTGTCGGCCTCAAGAGTCTGCCAAGCCTTGGTGTAAAGCTCTGTGGTGTAGTGTGCTTTGAAAATATTTATGATGCCCTGACTTGACTGAGAGGTTGGATAAAAGATGCACTGTTTGGGGGCATAAAAATAATTTCTATGTTGGGGTGTGAGCCTTCAAGTTCTTCCTGACAACAGACTGGGATATTACTGAAAACTACTAAAACCTCAAAGGCAAGGTTTCTGCCTTGGAGATAGTGTTGTAGGCAGCCGAGTTAAAAAGAACTATTATAGGCAGTCAGACAGGGCCAGGCCCTCAAGGAGACAATATGGAAGACAAGGTGACTTTGCAACTTGGAAGAGACACTCCCATGTGGGCCACGCCTGAAGACCAAGACAAAAAGAGGAAGCACAGCTACATACTTCCCTAGGGATGGGCATTAGGGATTGATATCCTAAATAGTATCAATCAACTTGGAAGAGCCCAAATGAGTCACTAGCCCAACCCCCAACAGGAAGAGACCCTGTCCTGTATTCACGCCCACTTGCTACATGACTCGCTTTCCCATTTGATACTGGATTTAATCAATTTTACCTGAGCAATGGTGTTTGTAATCTCATTGGTTGACCATAGTTTTGTCCCACTTCATGCCCAACTAAGCAAGTTCCCATGTCTTCACCACCTTAGATCCGCCTCACCACATGGTTTTCCTCTATAAAAGTCCCTGCAAGAGCCAACTTCCCCGGGGGTAACTACCCGCTGGGGGCGGGGGCCTCCTGTCCCTGTCTTGGACAGGAGCTTTCTTTCTCTCAATAGATATATTCTGCTCATAACCTCCGTTTGTTACTAAAATTCATTCTTTGATTTTAGAGAGCACGAACTCGTGCAGGTCAGGTCCACAGATCGTTTTTCCCTGTCATTTGGAGGTTCCCTATATTTGGAGGTCACCCACCCGAGACCAGTTTTTCTCCCTGTATCAATAGTGCTCAGCGTCTGGGATGAGGCAGCTGTGGAGCCAATCCACCATCATACATGCTTTTTTATCAACGGACTGGCACGTGGGGAACGTTTTCCCCTTTCAGTGTTTGTGGATTAAGGGCTCTGTACATCATCAGGGGTTTGCACTTAAAGTTGTCCCTGGAATTGGTGGACAAAAGCAAGGTTGTGTGATCTTGGAATGACTTAAAGCCAGGGGCTCTAGAGGCCATTTCCATTCTATAGGGTCTGCCAACACCCTTATAAAACAGAGCAGTCTCAGAAGCATTGAAAACCTCTTCGGGGCCTGGGAGATGGCTCAGTGGAGTAAGTGCTTCCCTGGCAAGCTCAAGGGCCTGAGTTCAATCCAGTTCTGCCAGAAAAAAAGAAAAAAGAAAAGCTCTTCCGCATAGTCCTTTTCCTGTGTAACACTTTGCAAATATTTTTAAAATTCTTCCGCAGCTTCCTGATCCGCACAACTTGGCTCTTCTGCAAGTGTGACGTTGCTCACACCGTATCGCCTTTTGAATCTTGCGAGCCAGCCTGCACTCGGCAGACGGCAGACGGGTTTAACGTTTCGCTGGCTCTGGGTGACGTGACAGTAAATTCCTTTGGCTTTCAGTCTCGCAACAGTGCTGCCCATGATGCTCATTTCATTTGTTGCTATCTCGTGAATCCACAAATATAGCCGCTTTTCCATTTTTTCGATAGCTTCGTCACGCACTATAAACGGCAGTTCAGTATTTTCCGGGACACGCTCGCTCCCCCGTACAAATCGGCGAATTCCCTTCTCCTTTTTTCTTGATGTAAAGGGCTGTAGATTTATTAACACTGAGCTGGCGGCCAATAGCACTGTAACTCATGCCTGAATCTAACACGTGTATTTTCTCAAAAAGACATCACGGCCTTCAGGCGCTTCACCAGAACGCTTGGGAGCCATTTTAAATTGCAGAATCAACAACAAAAAAGCACAGCAATGCAGGAAAAAGTAGCACTGAATAGTCCGGGGAAAGAGCTCCTTAAGAGCGGAAGAGCTGAATCCAGAAGGCGGAGCCTCTGCCTCATCAACTTCAACTGGGAATTGACACCTCTGCAAGACTCGGGGTTTTTCGTTCTCTGCGCATGCCTGGTAATAACCCCAGAAAGTACAGATTATTGCTTTAGGTATTACGAGATAAAATTTAGTGATTAAACACATTCGAAAATGTACTGGGAGATGGCTCAGTAGAATAAGCACTTCCCTGGCAAGTGCAAGGGCCTGAGTTCAATCCCCGGTTCCGCCAAAAAAAAAAAAATGTAAAGCCACAAATAATGAGAATCAACTGTATTTGCATGGATAGGAATTTTCTTTAAGGATAATAAACCTAGGTAGTTTGGTACAGTTCTAAGACTACAAGTCCCAGCGTCCACCGCTTCCTGGCGGCTCTGCTCTTCCGCTGGAGCCGAAGGCACGTGCGTTCGGGAGCAGCGACCGGAAGTGTCGTTTCCAACTACGTGATACCCTCTGCGCATGCGCAAACGCTGCTAGCGCCACCCTAGGTGCAGCCGCGGCTCTATGATCTCTCCCTAGAGCCCGGCCGTTTCGGGTAGTTGCTGGGGTCCCGTGGGTTGCCCGGCCCGGAGCAGCTGGGCCATGGAAGAGTTTGATTCCGAAGACTTCTCCACCTCGGAGGAGGACGAAGACTACGTGCCGTCGGGTGAGCGAGTCTGCAAGGCGAGAGGCGTGTTTGCCCCGCCCCGAGCCTCACGTGAGGCGCGCCCGGCCCCCGCGGGCACCGGCCCAGGGCCGCGGTGGCGAGGGTGGCGCGCGGCCTCG